TAAAAATCCTACTGTCTGGATGTTTCCTTAGCTCTCCAGAACAGGCTTTGGGAAGTTAACTAGGCAAAGGAGGCAGATTACAGAATCTTCCGCCATGCCAAATTTCTTCCGGAAATAAACCTCAGCTACTGACTTCTAAACACTCTGAAAAGCCCCAACATTCCAGCAGTTTGACTTCCAAAATGGTTACATCCACTGAAAAGTAGTAGAAAAATACTGCACTAAATAACTCCATTTACGTACACAGGTGTGCCCATGCACCCCGATAGTCACCAACTTCTGCAGTGACCTCAGTAATTAAATAAAAACCCATCTCATACTAGTTGCTGGTTACATTTAGCAACATGTACAAAATAGAACTCTTTCTAGTGCAATATTCAAGAGAAATCTTTCCCATCTTCAAAAAAACAAACAAAAACATAATCCAAAAAAATCTGTGCTCTCCTACATTTTAGTAATATTCTTTACGCATCAAAAATAATTTTTTGCATCTAACAGTACAATAGTTAAATAAAAGCAAACATGTTTTGATGTCCAAATACATGTTAACTCCATCCACTGTAACATCCATTTTTACTCAGTAAGGACAAATGAATTTTATTCACACTAATATTCCTGAGTGGTTGCTCTCCACACAAATACTTGCCAGACTACTTTGCTTGTTAGGAAATAATCTAATCGCCCACTCAACAAGAAGGAAAGGGGACAGATGGACATGAGTGACTAATAAAGTATTATCCAACTATTTTTAGACTGAACGATGTACAAAGGATCTGTAAACTGTGTTCAAAAACTTTTACTATGAGTAAAGAATAACTATGTTTTTTGGGGCTCACAATCAATGCAAAGCTCTCACGTGCAATTTTCAAGCTCAATCAGTAAGAAACGGTTTATTACAAAGCCTTTTTTGGACCTGGCCAAAAAAAAGAGCTGCAGCAATCAGGCTTATTTTATTCTTAGGAGATCCCACCGCACCACCAAGGCGGGCAGAAACGTAACCTACATAGTGCAAGCAAGAGGAGCTGCAGAGGATGCTGAAGAATTCAGGAATGCTGGGAATTGAAAGAATTTACAAACATGCTCTTGCTCCCTTGCTTAGTTGTACTGATGCCGCAGAAATTATGTAAATAGGCTGAAGAAAACTCCGCTCCTCAAGTGGCAGAGTTTCCCATAGGGAGCTACTCAGAAAGTTTGTTTTTCCCCACAGCCAGAGTTGCAGAGCAATAGACAAGAGAAAGCTTTATAGCCTCCCTCGGCAGACCCCATACACAAGTATTACTTGCTTATAGCAAGAGTTTTCCTTAATAACAGAACACCACACCAACCAAGCAGTATTTACACTCTTCTTCTAAGAACAGACTAAATCATTATAAAAGCTGTACGCAGAGGAGGACTCTGCTGCCCTGAGCGTGCCACTTGGTTTGGGTTATTTCATTTGAGAAGGAACACGGCAAACATAAATAAAAGGATGATTGCACAAACATAAACCATTTTCTTCAATGAAAAAAGGCTTTCTTCAGTGTACACTGCCCAAACTGTCTCCTTCCAACACCCCTTTGCCCTTGTGCAATCTTCCGAGTGCTGTACTTATCGTCGAAGCCAGAGAAGGAAACCTTTCCGTCTGATCCGTGGAAGAGGCTTCTTGTCCTTCGCTTTATAACTAAACAGGGCAGTGACACGGAAAGAAGCTGGAAGCAAAGACTCAAGAGAGCAGAGAATGAGAAAAGAAAGGGTTCACTGACTCCGCTTCATTCCTCACTCATGTTAATTGGTTGTAGGCTCCAGTTTTAAATAAGAGTGCTTGAAATGACACGTAAACATTTAGAAAACTCTGCGATGTCCTTCTTCAGAATCAAGTACTGAGTACAAACGCCTCATCAGCAGCTTTTTTCTTTCCAAATTTATCCTATTGGATTTTGCCATTTTGGCACGTACCTTGAAACAATACAGGTGACGGCTATAATTTATTGATTTTAGCCTATCCCTCACCTCTATAAACCACTTTTAAATACCTTAAACCATTGATCAGGTGTAGTAACAGCTACACTATGTGACACTTAAACAATCCACCAGATGCCCTTGAAGTTGATAAAGCACACCTGGGGAACACACAGTAGCTTGTGAGTTTGGATCCTTCATCTCAGAGGGACTGGGGGCTCACCACTGACTGATGACTAATGCCTTCAGCACTGACTGAATACTGTTCCCCTCAACTTAAAAAAGAAATAAGGTTTTGCTGCATGTGTACCAAGCTGCTCCCAGCCCGCAGTCACCAGCTTTGCCCACCCTGGGTTTTTCTGCACAAGAATGACCCACCCGATGCCTGTGTCCCCCCCACAACATCGCACCCAAATGCCCAATATCATCTCCTTGGGAAGAGCATCCCGCTGCGCAGAGTGGCAGCAACGCTGGAAGCCATAAACTCTTGAGATCTGCCACCACGCAGAGGTGGCAAAAAGGTCCAGACAAACAGGTTGCACGAGGCAGGCAGTTCCCATCTGCAGCGCCAAAACTGACACACCAAACCACCTACCAAAACAGCAAATACCAATCCATGCTGCGAGCACAGATTGGGCTGCTGTTATCAACCGAGTAATAATCGTGTGGTACGAAGACGAAACCACAGATAAAAACAACCGTGGCACTGCACAGTGACAAATCTGGTTATAAATGCTTAGCACAGATGTACACTAATGTTATTCCTTACCTGCTTCCAAACATAATCAGTTCAAAACAACAATTTCTTTGGAAGCTATTTACAAAAATGTTTAACCATTTTCTTCTAGAAATGCTGTCATTTGTGCTATTTTCTCTTACCCATCCACGATACAAGGAATTACACTGGGTTCGTGCTACGGCTAAAACAATGTTTGCTGTGTGAGCTTTGAATCGCTTCTGTTCTTCATGCGAACTTGTGCGCTCATGTTTTTCTACTAATCCTCTTAGGATCACACTGTTTATACTACTTTCTGAGATTTTGGTGCTATTTGAGCTTTTGCAACAAATTTAGTCATTAGATGTTGTGCTTTGTGAATAACAAAAGCCTTCTAAGGACACAGTATCTTTTCTTCCAAATTCTCCTCGAGTATCCTGCTTTTATCTGGATTCAGTATCTGTTTAGAGTGTCCCAATCAAAACAGAATTAAAAATAACTAAATCCTGGATATTCCCCTCAGTAACTAGGCTGCAAAAGGCATCAGACAATAGTCTTAAAAGCCTAAATTGAAAACTAATGACTCCATTGAATCTTTCCTTTCATTTGGTTAATAGGCATATACAAAACTTGCGGTGATTCTACCACTGCCTTGCTTGGAACATAAACAGAGAAAAAGTTTTTTCTTTTAATCACAGTTCCACAGCAATGCATGGTAATTTTTTTAAAACAATTCAGCACTTCTACAATAACATCCGCTTTTCAGATCTAACAGAGAAGCTGAACTGAGATAAATACCAATTCAAAAAATTCAAAAGAAACAAACACACGGGGAGGGGCTGGGGAGGTGGAAATCAGGACCACACACAAGACAGCAATAAAAACTGTCATTACCTGCAACTAGTTGGTAGCAATAGCGATCCAAGCGACAAGATGACACACACAAACTGCACCAACACTCAACTCGGGGTGGGGGTGGAAACAGCGGCACGGCACTGGAGTATGCTTGGACAGAGTGGGGATCACCAAGGGTGTTTTACAAGAAGCCTCAACAGGGAACACTCAAAGCATCTGAGACCTGCCCAGAGACATATCCACTTGTATTCTTAAACTCCATCTGAAATGGCTTTTCTCTGTCAATTGAGAAATCTTTATTTCCTGACCTTTGTTCTACCTTTAGGCCTTTATTATGTCAGAAATATGGAAGAATCTGATGCAGGTAACTTTCTGGATGTTTCAAAAAAGAAATGCGTAACATACATATTCATATAACATAAAAGTTGCACAACTTTCCACACTTCAGAAATACTCTTTCATATACCAAGCACCTGTATGCCTACAGACGTACACGAGCCAACAAAACAAAACAGGGTATCTGAGGGAATAAAGAATAAGAATTGGGTAAGCAGACAACACTATTCTGGGGAAAAGATCACGCAGATACAGGAATCTCTCTTCAAAAGTGCGCAGAAAGAGGATTCCTTGTGCAATGAGAACTATAGGGAAAGTCAGATCAGAGCAAAAGAATATTGTAGCAGCTACATACGATTTTCAGCACCCATTTCTAATACAAAGTCAAAAATTGAGGCAATCACAGAAGATAGCTTACAGCTCCCTGAAAGCAAAGGAAGCTAAATTGCTGGAGAGGAAACCATCTTAGCCAGCTCTATTAAAAACACATAACGCACAAGAGTAATCTTGTCAATACCAATCAGTTGGTACCACTGGGGAAGGAGGGAGGGCGAACCGTGCTGCTGCACGATTTCACTTGCAAGGCATTTAAATGAAATTCATTAGCAAGTAACACAATTCACATAAACTGAAAGTTAAAAGATCCAAGAAAAAATCCAAAAAAATCCAGTCTGGACTGGGAAAGAGCATAAGTAGTTATTACTCTAAGTGCTGAGTATTATGTGAAGGGACAATGGCCTGTACAATAGTCACAAAATCCCACCTTCACAGATGGCTACATCTAGGATGTGGGC